CAATGACAACGACAACAGTGGCACCAACTTAGACGCCCACGAGGCAGGTCGTCCACGCACTTACACGTGGACTAGTTCATCAAGGCCCGTGGTGGTGGTGGTTGTGTGGTGGTGGCGGTGGTTGTGTGGTGGTGGTTGCGTGGTGGTGGTGGCGGTGGTTGCGTGTTGGTGGTTGCGTGGTGGTGGTTGCGTGGTGGTGGTGGTGGTTGTGTGGTGGTGGTTGCATGGTGGTGGTGGTTGTGCGGTGGTGGTGGTTGTGTGGTGGTGGTTGCGTGGTGGTGGTGGTTGTGTGGTGGTGGTGGTTGTGTGGTGGTGGTGGTGGTGGTTGCGTGGTGGTGGTGGTGGTGGTTCCGTGGTGGTGGTGGTTGCGTGAGCACCGTGAACTCGTCGATGAACTTGAGGTTCCCGTTGGCGCACAGCGACTCCACGTGCAGCAGGAAGGCCTTCTTGGGGACCGGCCTGCGGGCGGTGCACACACGAAGACACAACGGTCCGAGTCCCCTGCGGCTCCAGCGTGCGGCCCGCGTGGCCCCATCCTTGCACCACACGTTGGCACGCACAGCTCCCCCGCCGCCCCAGCGGCACGTCAGCTGTACCGCCACGGCACGCGGCGGCGCCGCCACGGCACAGAAACACCGCCACGGCACACAGCGGCACAGAGCGGCACACGGCAACACCGCCACGGTGCACGGCAACACCGCCACGGCGCACGGCAACACCGCCACGGCGCACGGCAACACCGCCACGGTGCACGACAACACCGCCACGGTGCACGGCAACACCGCCACGGCACACAGCGGCACAGAGCGGCACACGGCAACACCGCCACGGCACACAGCGCGTCGGCGGGCGTAGCAAGCGCCATGCAGTGGCTGCGGTGGCGGCGAGAGGATTGCGTGGTGGTGGTGGTGGTGGGGGGTGCAGGCGATGAGGTTGGGACAGCGAGCCAGGGCGGTGAAGTATGCCCGGCAGACTCCAGAGCCGCCGAAGAACCCGGCGGAGGCGGCGGCGGCTGTCGAGCGTGCAGGCGGTGCAACTGCGCCGACCGCTCTCTAATAGAATGCCACGGCGGCTCGGCGCACGCGAACGCGGCAGGGGAGTGCAACCGGCGCCGGGGAAACCGCGCGGCACTCGGCACGGCACACGGCAGCGGGCAGCACGCCGGGTACGGTGGGGTGGCGGTGGCGGCGGTGGTGCGGACTTACCTGACCGACTTCCTGTAACTAAGCAGCCTAGAACAATGAGAGAGGCAGCGTTTCACTCGGTGGTACGGCAGCTGCCACACGCCTCAGCTGCCACAACGAAGCCTCCGCACAAGCCACTCCACTGCACAGTGAACATTGCCTAGCCACCGCTGCGGTCTGCGGTCTCGACCATCCAAGTCGTCATCATCGTCAAATCAGCATTGTCGCGGCGTGTGTGGTGGTGGTGGTGGTGCTGGGTGCTAGGGGTGTGGTTGCAGGGCGCTTACTGGACGCTGAACGGGTCGCGGTGCTTGAACAGGAACGAGGAGAGGCTGGGGGTGTGCACGAGACAAAGACAAAGATCCCCCGTGTGGCCTTTAAACAGATCGTTGGGGCAAGGGCTGTTAGCGAGCAGCACCAGTGAAGGCCGGCGCGGAGCGCGAGGTGGTGGGCGTGGCCAGAACTATGATGAACGCACCAACACACACACCAACACACACACACACCAACACACACACACACCAACACACACGCACCAACACACACGCACCAACACCCACACCAACACACACACACACCAACACACACACACCAACACACACGCACCAACACACCCGCACCAACACACACGCACCAACACACACGCACCAACACACACCAACACACACGCACCAACACACACGCACCAACACACACACACATCAACACACACACCAACAAACACACCAACCCCCACACCAACACACACACATCAACACACCAACAAACAAACCAACCCCCACACCAACACACATACCCCAACACACACACCAACACACACACCAACACACACACCAACCCACACACCAACCCACACACACAAACACACCAACACACACACACAAACACACCAACACACACACACAAACACACCAACACACACACAGGCAGGGATGCCACGTGACACACATGCTGTTAGCGAGCACCTATTAAGGCCGGCAGGGCACACGAGGTTTGGTGGGCCGAGTGGACTGCACGCAAAAAAAACGCGAACCTTTAAATTCCACGGCAGTTCAGTTGGAGATCTCAAACCGGGGTGAGACGCTGCACGAGTGGGGCCTGGGGGAGGGCGAGCGTGGGGGCGAGCGTGGGGGCGAGCTTGTGGGTGAGCGTGAGGGTGGGTGAGCGAGCGTGCGGGCGAGCGTGCGGGCGAGCGCGCGATTCTCACCGGGAGGGAGCGCCGTCGCGCGTCTCCGGCTCCGAGAGGCTGAACAGCTGGTCCAGCTTGAGCTTCGTGTCCAGGATCTCCGCGTCGCGTGGGGAGTACGCGCCCCCCTCCTTCTGCCTGCTCCGGAACCTGCTTGCCGCGGAGGTGGGGGCGAGGTGGGGACGAGGTGGGGGCGGTGGGGCTGGTTAACGCTCGTCACCGCGCTTTGCACCGTTCTCGTTAAGGAGCTATGGGGACCGTCGTGACACGAACTCCCGCTCGTCGTCGTCCTCACACGAACTCCCGCTCGTCGTCGTCCTCACGTGAACTCCTGCTCGTCGTCGTCCTCACGCGAACTCCCGCTCGTCGTCGTCCTCACGCGAACTCCCGCTCGTCGTCCTCACGCGAACTCCCGCTCGTCGTCCTCACACGAACTCCCGCTCGTCGTCCTCACACGAACTCCCGCTCGTCGTTGTCCTCACACGAACTCCCGCTCGTCGTCCTCACACGAACTCCCGCTCGTCGTCCTCACACGAACTCCCGCTCGTCGTCCTCACACGAACTCCCGCTCGTCGTCCTCACGCGAACTCCCGCTCGTCGTTGTCCTCACGTGAACTCCCGCTCGTCGTCCTCACACGAACTCCCGCTCGTCGTCCTCACACGAACTCCCGCTCGTCGTCCTCACACGAACTCCCGCTCGTCGTCCTCACGCGAACTCCCGCTCGTCGTCGTCCTCACGCGAACTCCCGCTCGTCGTCGTCCTCACGTGAACTCCCGCTCGTCGTCGTCCTCACACGAACTCCCGCTCGTCGTCGTCCTCACATGAACTCCCGCTCGTCGTCGTCACGGCGACGGCGGCGGCTTTTGGCTCAGCCATCGAACGAAGGCGGCGGCGGCGGTCACGGCATCGTCGCGCGGCGCTTTCGGATGCGCTGCTTCCGCGGCCGTCTGGAATGCTCTCTCCTCCCTTCCGATATTAGGAGGTCATTGGGAGCTGCATCTGGATTGACAAACTCACGTCTTTAGAACTGTCCTTTGCCCGTTTAGTTTGTTGTCCTTCCCACACCCCGGCCACCTCTGATTAACACGGTGGGCTACGTACGGCGTGAAAGAAGTTTTACATATAGGAACGCCATTACTTATGAACATTCGACCCGCAAACTTTCAGAGATACGAACAAACGTGTCCGCGTTTCACGTTGCCTTTTCGGACCGAAATTCGTAAGTTCAACTACCGTGCAATAGATGGCGGTGGTGGCATCTACATCTCCAGAACGTGAAGAACCAGTGGCATCTACATCTGCAGAATGTGAAGAACCAGTGGCATCTACATCTGCAGGACGTGAAGAACCAGTGGCATCTACATCTGCAGGACGTGAAGAACCAGCGGCATCTACATCTGCAGAATATGAAGAACCAGTGGCATCTACATCTGCAGAACATGAAGAACCAGTGGCATCTACATCTGCAGAACATGAAGAACCAGCGGCATCTACATCTGCAGAACGTGAAGAACCAGTGGCATCTACATCTACAGAACATGAAGAACCAGTGGCATCTACATCTACAGAACATGAAGAACCAGTGGCATCTACATCTGCAGAACGTGAAGAACCAGTGGCATCTACATCTACAAGACGTGAAGAACCAGTGGCATCTACATCTACAGAACGTGAAGAACCAGTGGCATCTACATCTACAGAACATGAAGAACCAGTGGCATCTACATCTACAGAACATGAAGAACCAGTGGCATCTACATCTACAGAACATGAAGAACCAGTGGCATCTACATCTACAGAACATGAAGAACCAGCGGCATCTACATCTGCAGAACATGAAGAACCAGTGGCATCAACATCTGCAGAACGTGAAGAACCAGTGGCATTTACATCTGCAGAACGTGAAGAACCAGTGGCATCTACATCTGCAGAACGTGAAGAACCAGTGGCATTTACATCTGCAGAATATGAAGAACCAGTGGCATCTACATCTACAGAATGTGAGAAAAACCAGTGGCATCTACATCTGCAGAATGTGAAGAACCAGTGGCATCTACATCTGCAGGACGTGAAGAAGCAGTGGCATCTACATCTGCAGGACGTGAAAAACCAGCGGCATCTACATCTGCAGAACATGAAGAACCAGTGGCATCTACATCTGCAGAATATGAAGAACCAGTGGCATCTACATCTGCAGAACATGAAGAACCAGTGGCATCTACATCTGCAGAACATGAAGAACCAGCGGCATCTACATCTGCAGAACATGAAGAACCAGTGGCATCTACATCTGCAGAACATGAAGAACCAGCGGCATCTACATCTGCAGAACGTGAAGAACCAGTGGCATCTACATCTACAGAACATGAAGAACCAGTGGCATCTACATCTACAGAACATGAAGAACCAGTGGCATCTACATCTGCAGAACGTGAAGAACCAGTGGCATCTACATCTACAGGACGTGAAGAACCAGTGGCATCTACATCTACAGAACGTGAAGAACCAGTGGCATCTACATCTACAGAACATGAAGAACCAGTGGCATCTACATCTACAGAACATGAAGAACCAGTGGCATCTACATCTACAGAACATGAAGAACCAGTGGCATCTACATCTACAGAACATGAAGAACCAGCGGCATCTACATCTGCAGAACATGAAGAACCAGTGGCATCAACATCTGCAGAATGTGAAGAACCAGTGGCATTTACATCTGCAGAACGTGAAGAACCAGTGGCATCTACATCTGCAGAACGTGAAGAACCAGTGGCATTTACATCTGCAGAATATGAAGAACCAGTGGCATCTACATCTACAGAATGTGAGAAAAACCAGTGGCATCTACATCTGCAGAATGTGAAGAACCAGTGGCATCTACATCTGCAGGACGTGAAGAACCAGTGGCATCTACATCTGCAGGACGTGAAAAACCAGCGGCATCTACATCTGCAGAACATGAAGAACCAGTGGCATCTACATCTGCAGAATATGAAGAACCAGTGGCATCTACATCTGCAGAACATGAAGAACCAGTGGCATCTACATCTGCAGAACATGAAGAACCAGCGGCATCTACATCTGCAGAACATGAAGAACCAGTGGCATCTACATCTGCAGAACATGAAGAACCAGCGGCATCTACATCTGCAGAACGTGAAGAACCAGTGGCATCTAGATCTACAGAACATGAAGAACCAGCGGCATCTACATCTGCAGAACATGAAGAACCAGTGGCATCAACATCTGCAGAACGTGAAGAACCAGTGGCATCAACATCTGCAGAACGTAAAGAACCAGTGGCACCTACATCTGCAGAACGTGAAGAACCAGTGGCACCTACATCTGCAGAACGTGAAGAACCAGTGGCATCTACATCTACAGAACGTGAAGAACCAGTGGCATCTACATCTACAGAACGTGAAGAACCAGTAGTATCTACATCTGCAGAACGTGAAGAACCAGTGGAATCAACATCTGCAGAACGTGAAGAACCAGTGGCATTTACATCTGCAGAACGTGAAGAACCAGTGGCATCTACATCTGCAGAACGTGAAGAACCAGTGGCATCTACATCTGCAGAACGTGAAGAACCAGTGGCATCTACATCTGCAGAACGTGAAGAACCAGTGGCATCTACATCTACAGAACGTGAAGAACCAGTGGCATCTACATCTACAGAACGTGAAGAACCAGTAGCATCTACATCTGCAGAACGTGAAGAACCAGTGGCATCAACATCTGCAGAACGTGAAGAACCAGTGGCATTTACATCTGCAGAACATGAAGAACCAGTGGCATCTACATCTGCAGAACGTGAAGAACCAGTGGCATTTACATCTGCAGAACGTGAAGAACCAGTGGCATCTACATCTACAGAATGTGAGAATAACCAGTGGCATCTACATCTGCAGAATGTGAAGAACCAGTGGCATCTACATCTGCAGGACGTGAATAACCAGTGGCATCTACATCTGCAGGACGTGAAGAACCAGCGGCATCTACATCTGCAGAACATGAAGAACCAGTGGCATCTACATCTGCAGAAAATGAAGAACCAGTGGCATCTACATCTGCAGAACATGAAGAACCAGTGGCATCTACATCTGCAGAACATGAAGAACCAGCGGCATCTACATCTGCAGAACATGAAGAACCAGTGGCATCTACATCTGCAGAACATGAAGAACCAGTGGCATCTACATCTGCAGAACGTGAAGAACCAGTGGCATTTAGATCTACAGAACATGAAGAACCAGCGGCATCTACATCTGCAGAACATGAAGAACCAGTGGCATCAACATCTGCAGAACGTGAAGAACCAGTGGCATCAACATCTGCAGAACGTAAAGAACCAGTGGCACCTACATCTGCAGAACGTGAAGAACCAGTGGCACCTACATCTGCAGAACGTGAAGAACCAGTGGCATCTACATCTACAGAACGTGAAGAACCAGTGGCATCTACATCTACAGAACGTGAAGAACCAGTAGTATCTACATCTGCAGAACGTGAAGAACCAGTGGCATCAACATCTGCAGAACGTGAAGAACCAGTGGCATTTACATCTGCAGAACGTGAAGAACCAGTGGCATCTACATCTACAGAACGTGAAGAACCAGTAGTATCTACATCTGCAGAACGTAAAGAACCAGTGGCACCTACATCTGCAGAACGTGAAGAACCAGTGGCACCTACATCTGCAGAACGTGAAGAACCAGTGGCATCTACATCTACAGAACGTGAAGAACCAGTGGCATCTACATCTACAGAACGTGAAGAACCAGTAGTATCTACATCTGCAGAACGTGAAGAACCAGTGGCATCAACATCTGCAGAACGTGAAGAACCAGTGGCATTTACATCTGCAGAACGTGAAGAACCAGTGGCATCTACATCTGCAGAACGTGAAGAACCAGTGGCATCTACATCTGCAGAACATTAAGAACCAGTGGCATCTACATCTGCAGAACGTGAAGAACCAGTGGCATCAACATCTGCAGAACGTGAAGAACCAGTGGCATCTACATCTGCAGAACGTGAAGAACCAGTGGCATCTACATCTACAGAACGTGAAGAACCAGTGGCATCTACATCTGCAGAACGTGAAGAACCAGTAGCATCTACATCTGCAGAACGTGAAGAACCAGTGGCATCAACATCTGCAGAACGTGAAGAACCAGTGGCATTTACATCTGCAGAACGTGAAGAACCAGTGGCATCTACATCTGCAGAACGTGAAGAACCAGTGTGCATTTACATATGCAGAATATGAAGAACCAGTGGCATCTACATCTACAGAATGTGAGAAAAACCAGTGGCATCTACATCTACAGAACGTGAAGAACCAGTGGCATCTACATCTGCAGAACGTGAAGAACCAGCGGCATCTACATCTGCAGAACATGAAGAACCAGTGGCATCTACATCTGCAGAATGTGAAGAACCAGTGGCATCTACATCTGCAGAACGTGAAGAACCAGTGGCATCAACATCTGCAGAACGTGAAGAACCAGTGGCATCTACATCTACAGAACGTGAATAACCAGTGGCATCTACATCTACAGAACGTGAAGAACCAGTGGCATCTACATCTGCAGAACGTGAAGAACCAGTAGCATCTACATCTGTAAAACGTGAAGAACCAGTGGTATCTACATCTGCAGAACGTGAAGAACCAGTGGAATCTACATCTGCAGAACGTGAAGAACCAGTGGCATCTACATCTGCAGAACGTGAAGAACCAGTGTGCATTTACATATGCAGAATATGAAGAACCAGTGGCATCTACATCTACAGAATGTGAGAAAAACCAGTGGCATCTACATCTACAGAACGTGAAGAACCAGTGGCATCTACATCTGCAGAACGTGAAGAACCAGCGGCATCTACATCTGCAGAACATGAAGAACCAGTGGCATCTACATCTGCAGAATGTGAAGAACCAGTGGCATCTACATCTGCAGAACGTGAAGAACCAGTGGCATCTACATCTGCACAACGTGAAGAACCAGTGGCATCTACATCGGCAGAATGTGAGAACAACCAGTGGCATCTACATCTACAGAACGTGAAGAACCAGTGGCATCTACATCTGCAGAACGTGAAGAACCAGCGGCATCTACACCTGCAGAACATGAAGAACCAGTGGCATCTACATCTGCAGAATGTGAAGAAACAGTGGCATCTACATCTGCAGAACGTGAAGAACCAGTGGCATCTAGATCTGCACAACGTGAAGATCCAGTGGCATCAACATCTGCACAACGTGAAGAACCAGTGGCATCTACATCGACAGAACGTGAAGAACCAGTGGCATCAACATCTGCAGAACGTGAAGAACCAGTGGCATCTACGTCTGCAGAACGTGAAGAACCAGTGGCATTTACATCTGCAGAATATGAAGAACCAGTGGCATCTACATCTACAAAATGTGAAGAACCAGTGGCATCTACATCTGCAGAACTTGAAGAACCAGCGGCATCTACATCTGCAGAACGTGAAGAACCAGTGGCATCTACATCTGCAGAACATGAAGAACCAGTGGCATCTACATCTGCAGAACATGAAGAACCAGTGGCATCTACATCTGCAGAACATGAAGAATCAGTGGCATCTACATCTACAGGAGATGAAACAACTTTTAAAGCCATTCTCCGTGTTTGGAATCGACAGGAGTAAAGTTGGATTTATGAAACAAATCGACTTACGAACAGACCTCTGGAACCGAACTCGTTCGTAACTAGAGGGTTTCCCCTGTACACACACACACACTTCTAAGTTTGTCGTCCTTCCCCGTCACCCGCCGGTCAACAACGGTTGGCCACGTACGGCGGTGTGCAAGAAGTTTAACACACACACACGCGCACACACACGCACACGCGCGCACACACACGCGCACACACACACACGTGCGCACGCACATTTCCCCCGAACGTTATCGCGGTCGCACTGCAAGTCGCGAGAACGAGGAGGCCTTCGGGAGGATCTCGCGGAGCGGCACGCGGAGGCCGCTCGTCGTCAGAGAGCGGCCCCGTGGAAACGGATGTCAAGGAGCTACCCCGGAGATGATCCCTTGTCGTGAAGGTTGTAGCCGTGCTTGTGGCGAGTCTGCGGTTGTGGTGCGGTTGTTGCCGAGGTTGTGGTGAGGTTTTGGTTGTGGTGAGATTGTGGTAAGCCTGCAGCCGTGCTTGCGGTGAGCCTGCGGTTGTGGTGCGGTTGTTTTGCCGAGGTTGTGGTGAGGTTTTGGTTGTGGTGAGATTGTGGTAAGCCTGCAGCCGTGCTTGCGGTGAGCCTGCGGTTGTGGTGCGGTTGTTTGCCGAGGTTGTGGTGAGGTTTTGGTTGTGGTGACATTGTGGTAAGCCTGTAGCCGTGCTTGCGGTGAGGCTGCGGTTGTGGTGAGGTTTTTTGTTTGTGGGTGAGGTTTTGGTCGTGGGTGAGGTTTTGGTCGTGGGTGAGGTTTTGGTCGTGGGTGAGGTTTTGGTCGTGGGTGAGGTTGAGTGTGCGGTGAGGTTGAGTGTGCGGTGGGGTTGAGTGTGCGGTGAGGTTTTGGTAATGGTTGAGGTTTTGGTCGTGGGTGAGGTTTTGGTCGTGGGTGAGGTTGAGTGTGTGGTGAGGTTGAGTGTGTGGTGAGGTTGAGTGTGCGGTGAGGTTTTGGTCGTGGGTGAGGTTTTTGTCGTGGGTGAGGTTTTGGTCGTGGGTGAGGTTTTGGTCGTGGGTGAGGTTGAGTGTGCGGTGAGGTTGAGTATGCGGTGAGGTTTTGGTCGTGGGTGAGGTTTTGGTCGTGGGTGAGGTTTTGGTCGTGGGTGAGGTTGAGTGTGCGGTGAGGTTGAGTATGCGGTGAGGTTTTGGTCGTGGGTGAGGTTTTGGTCGTGGGTGAGGTTTTGGTCGTGGGTGAGGTTGAGTGTGCGGTGAGGTTGAGTGTGCGGTGAGGTGGTTGCCGCTCCTCACCTGGTGAGGAAGACGACCATGAGGACGAGGAGGATGAGGGATGCGACGAAGAGTGTCACCCCGATAACGACCCCCACGGTGCTGTTGGGGAGTCCTTCCCCTACAAAGACAAAGATCCCCCGTGCAGCCTTCACAGACTGCTGTGGCAAGTGCTGTCAGCGAGTACAAGCATCTATGACGGCCGCACCAAAGACCAAGGTCCCACGTGTAGCCTTAACAGTCTGTTAGGACAAGTGCTGTCAGTAACGAGTAGCACTTATGAAGGACACACCAAAGACAAAGGTCCCCCGTGTAGCCTGCACAGACTGTTGGGGCAAGTGCTGTCGGTGAGCGCCTATTAAGGCCGGGATGATGCGGCGTGCGAGGTGGACGGTGTGGCAGTCAAGGAACTCAATTACGGCTGAGTCGACCTAGGGGACGACCAAGAAAAGTTCACTTTTTCCTCTGCTGTTGATTATAGTTCATGTACCGGACTGACTCACCCGGCGTGCTGATGAGCTCCGATTGCAGCGAGTCCGTGTATCAGACTGACTCACCCGACGTGCTGATGAGCTCCGACTACAGCGAGTGCGTGTATCAGACTGACTCACCCGACGTGCTGATGAGCTCCGACTAAAGCGAGTCCGTGAATCAGACTGACTCACCCGGCGTGCTGATGAGCTCTGAGCAGAGCGAGTCCGTGTATCAGACTAACTCACCCGGCGTGCTGATGAGCTCCGACTACAGCGAGTCCGTGTATCAGACTGACTCACCCGGCTTGCTGATGAGCTCCGACTACAGCGAGTCCGTGTATCAGACTGACTCACCCGGCGTGCTGATGAGCTCTGAGCAGAGCGAGTCCGTGTATCAGACTGACTCACCCGGCGTGCTGATGAGCTCCGACTACAGCGAGTCCGTGTACCAGACTGACTCACCCGGCGTGCTGATGAGCTCCGACTACTGTGAGTGCGTGTACCGCACTGACTCACCCGGCATGCTGATGACCTCCGACCACAGCGAGTGCGTGTATCGGACTGACTCACCCGGCGTGCTGATGAGCTCCGACTACAGCGAGTCCGTGTATCAGACTGACTCACCCGGCGTGCTGATGAGCTCCGACTACTGTGAGTGCGTGTACCGCACTGACTCACCCGGCATGCTGATGACCTCCGACCACAGCGAGTGCGTGTATCGGACTGACTCACCCGGCGTGCTGATGAGCTCCGACTGCAGCGAGTCCGTGTATCAGACTGACTCACCCGGCGGGCTGATGAGCTCCGACTACAGCCAGTGCGTGTACCACACTGACTCACCCGGCGTGCTGATGAGCTCCGACCACAGCGAGTCCGTGTATCGGACTGACTCACCCGGCGTGCTGATGAGCTCCGACTACAGCGAGTGCGTGTATCGGACTGACTCACCCGGCGTGCTGATGAGCTCCGACTACAGCGAGTCCGTGTATCAGACTGACTCACCCGGCGTGCTGATGAGCTCCGACTGCAGCGAGTCCGTGTATCAGACTGACTCACCCGGCGGGCTGATGAGCTCCGACTACAGCCAGTGCGTGTACCACACTGACTCACCCGGCGTGCTGATGAGCTCCGACTACAGCGAGTGCGTGTACCACACTGACTCACCCGGCGTGCTGATGAGCTCCGACTACAGCGAGTGCGTGTACCACACTGACTCACCCGGCGTGCTGATGAGCTCCGACCACAGCGAGTCCGTGTATCGGACTGACTCACCCGGCGTGCTGATGAGCTCCGACTACAGCGAGTGCGTGTATCGGACTGACTCACCCGGCGTGCTGATGAGCTCCGACTACAGCGAGTCCGTGTATCAGACTGACTCACCCGGCGTGCTGATGAGCTCCGACTGCAGCGAGTCCGTGTATCAGACTGACTCACCCGGCGGGCTGATGAGCTCCGACTACAGCCAGTGCGTGTACCACACTGACTCACCCGGCGTGCTGATGAGCTCCGACTACAGCGAGTGCGTGTACCACACTGACTCACCCGGCGTGCTGATGAGCTCCGACTACAGCGAGTGCGTGTACCACACTGACTCACCCGGCGTGCTGATGAGCTCCGACTACAGCGAGTGTGTGTACCGCACTGACTCACCCAGGGTGCTGATGCGCTCAGAGTAAAGCGAATCCGTGTACTGTCCCAGGATGTTGATGCCTCGAAACTTGAACCTGGGATGCATTACGTCAACAACAACAACAACGACATCATCATCAGCAGCAGCAGCGGCTCCTAGAGATGAATGCGCAGTGCCACTCCTCACCCTTGCGAGCTCGGAGGGCCAGAGTCGTGAACTCGCGGGTAAAGAACGGTGATTTGAGGCTGGATTGGTTCCCCGTTTCGGCCGGACATCTTCCGTGAGCGATGAGTGGAGGGATGGGATGGACTGCTGATGCCATCACTGCTTAGATAGACATGGGATGGACCTGATGCCATCACTGCTTAGATAGACATGGGATGGACCTGATGCCATCACTGCTTAGATAGACATGGGAGATACATCCTGATGCCATCAATGCTTAGATAGACATGGGATAGACATCCTGATGCCATCACTGCTTAGTTAGACATGGGATAGACATCCTGATGCCATCACTCCTTAGATAGACATGGGATAGATATCCTGATGCCATCACTCCTTAGATAGACATGGGATGGACTCCTGATGCCATCACTGCTTAGATAGACATGGGACGGACCTGATGCCATCACTGCTTAGATAGACATGGGATAGACATCCTGATGCCATCACTGCTTAGATAGACATGGGATAGACCTACTGATGCCATCACTGCTTAGATAGACATGGGATAGACATCCTGATGCCATCACTGCTTAGATAGACATGGGATAGAAATCCTGATGCCATCACTCTTTAGATAGACATGGGGAAGACATTCTGATGCCATCACTCCTTAGATAGACATGGGATAGACATCCTGATGCCATCACTCCTTAAATAGACTTGGGATAGACATGCTGATGCCATCACTCCTTAGATAGACATGGGATGGACATCCTGATAACAACGCTCCTTAGATAGACATGGGATAGACATCCTGATGCCATCACTCCTTAGATAGACATGGGATAGATATCCTGATGCCATCACTGCTTAGATAGACATGGGATGGACATCCTGATGCTATCACTGCTTAGATAGACATGGGATAGACATCCTGATGCCATCGCTCCTTAGATAGACATGGGATGAACATCCTGATACCATCACTCCTTAGATAGACATGGGATGGACATCCTGATAACATCGCTCCTTAGATAGACATGGGATAGACATCCTGATGCCATCACTCCTTAGATAGACATGGGATAGATATCCTGATGCCATCACTGCTTAGATAGACATGGGATGGACACCCTGATGCCATCACTGCTTAGATAGACATGGGATAGACATCCTGATGCCATCGCTCCTTAGATAGACATGGGATGAACATCCTGATACCATCACTCCTTAGATAGACATGGGAAAGTCATCCTGATGCCGTCACTGCTTAGATAGACATGGGATAGTCATCCTGATGCCATCACTCTTTAGATAGATATGGGATAGACATCCTGAAGCCATCACTGCTTAAATAGACATGGGATAGACATGCTGATAGCATCACTGCTTAGATAGACATGGGATAGACATCCTGATGCCATCACTGCTTAGATAGACATGGGATGGACATCCTGATGCCATCACTGCATAGGTAGACATGGTATAGACATCCTGATGCCATCACTGCTTAGATAGACATGGGATGGACCTACTGATACCATCACTGCTTAGATAGACATGGGATGGACATCCTGATGGCACTACTCCTTAGAGATACATGGGATAGACATCCTGATACCATCATTGCTTAGATAGACATGGGATAGACCTCCTGATGCCATCACTGCTTCGATATACATGGGATGGACATCTTGATGCCATCACTGCTTAGATAGACATGGGACGGACATCCTGATGCCATCACTGCATAGATAGACATGGTAAAGACATCCTGATGCCATCACTGCTTAGATAGACATGGGATTGACCTGATGCCATCACTGCTTAGATAGACATGGGATAGACATCCTGATGCCATCACTGCTTAGATAGACATGGGATAGACCTACTGATGCCATCACTGCTTAGATAGACATGGGATAGACATCCTGATGCCATCACTGCTTAGATAGACATGGGATAGACATCCTGATGCCATCACTCTTTAGATAGACATGGGATGGACATCCTGATGCCATCACTGCATAGGTAGACATGGTATAGACATCCTGATGCCATCACTGCTTAGATAGACATGGGATGGACCTACTGATACCATCACTGCTTAGATAGACATGGGATGGACATCCTGATGGCACTACTCCTTAGAGATACATGGGATGGACATCCTGATACCATCATTGCTTAGATAGACATGGGATAGACCTCCTGATGCCATCACTGCTTCGATATACATGGGATGGACATCTTGATGCCATCACTGCTTAGATAGACATGGGACGGACATCCTGATGCCATCACTGCATAGATAGACATGGTAAAGACATCCTGATGTCATCACTGCTTAGATAGACATGGGATTGACCTGATGCCATCACTGCTTAGATAGACATGGGATAGACATCCTGATGCCATCACTGCTTAGATAGACATGGGATAGACCTACTGATGCCATCACTGCTTAGATAGACATGGGATAGACATCCTGATGCCATCACTGCTTAGATAGACATGGGATAGACATCCTGATGCCATCACTCTTTAGATAGACATGGGGAAGACATTCTGATGCCATCACTCCTTAGATAGACATGGGATAGACATCCTGATGCCATCACTCCTTAAATAGACATGGGATAGACATGCTGATGCCATCACTCCTAAGATAGACATGGGATGGACACCCTGATGCCATCACTGCTTAGATAGACATGGGATAGACATCCTGATGCCATCGCTCCTTAGATAGACATGGGATGAACATCCTGATACCATCACTCCTTAGATAGACATGGGATAGTGATCCTGATGCCGTCACTCTTTAGATAGACATGGGATAGACATCCTGATGCCATCACTGCTTAGATAGACATGGGATAGTCATCCTGATGCCATCACTCTTTAGATATACATGGGATAGACATCCTGATGCCATCACTGCTTAGATAGACATGGGATAGACATCCTGATGCCATCACTGCTTAGATAGACATGGGATGGATATCCTGATGCCATCACTGCATAGATAGACATGGTATAGACATCCTGATGCCATCACTGCTTAGATAGACATGGGATGGACCTACTGATACCATCACTGCTTAGATAGACATGGGATGGACATCCTGATGGCACTACTCCTTAGAGATACATGGGATAGACATCCTGATACCATCACTGCTTAGAGAGACATGGGATAGACCTCCTGATGCCATCACTGCTTAGATATACATGGGATGGACATCTTGATGCCATCACTGCTTAGATAGACATGGGATAGACATCCTGATGCCACCAGTCCTTAGTTAGACATGGCATAGACATCCTGATGCCATCACTGCTTAGATAGACATGGGATGGACCTACTGATGCCATCACTGCTTAGATAGACATGGGATAGACATCCTGATGCCACCACTCCTTAGATAGATATGGGATAGATATCCTGATGCCATCACTCCTTAGATAGACATGGGATGGACATCCTGATGCCATCACTGCTTAGATAGACATGGGATAGACATCCTGATGCCACCACTCCTTAGATAGACATGGGATAGACATACTGATGCCACCACTCCTTAGATAGACATGGGATAGATATCCTGATGCCATCACTGCTCAGATAGACACGGGATGGATATCCTGATGCCATCACTGCTTAGATAGACATGGGATGGACATTCTGATGCCATCACTCCTTAGATAGACATGGGATAGACATCCTGATGCCATCACTGCTTAGATAGACACGGGATGGACATCCTGATGTCATCACTGCTTAGATAGACATGGGATAGACATCCTGATGCCATCACTCCTTAGATAGACATGGGATAGTCATCATGATGCCATCACTGCTTAGATAGACACGGGATGGACATCCTGATGTCATCACTCCTTAGATAGACATGGGATAGACATCCTGATGTCATTACTCCTTAGATAGACATGGGATAGGCATCCTGATGTCATCACTCCTTAGATAGACATGGGATAGACATCCTGATGCCATCACTGCTTAGATAGACATGGGATAGACATCCTGATGTCATTACTCCTTAGATAGACATGGGATAGACATCCTGATGCCATGACTCCTTAGATAGGCATGGGATAGACATCCTTATGGCATTACTGCTTAGATAGACATGGGATAGACATCCTGATGCCATCACTCTTTAGATAGACATGGGATAGACATACTGATGCCATCACTGCTTAGATAGACATGGGATAGACATCCTGATGCCATCACACCTTAGATAGATGTGGGATAGACATCCTGATGCCATCACTCTTTAGATAGACATGGGATAGACATCCTGATGCCATCACTCCTTAGATAGACATGGGATAGACATCCTGATGCCATCACTCCTTAGATAGACATGGGATAGACATCCTGGTGCCATCACTGCTTAGATAGACATGGGATGGACATTCTGATGCCATCACTGCTTAGATAGACATGGGATAGACATCCTGATGCCATCACTCCTTAGATGGACATGGGATAGACATCCGGATGCCATCACTGCTTAGATAGACATGGGATGGACATCCTGATGCGATCACTGCTTAGATAGACATGGGATAGACATCCTGATGCCATTACTCCTTAGATAGACATGGGATGGACATCCTGATGCCATCACTGCTTAGATAAACATGGGATAGACATCCTGATGCCATCACTCCTTAGATAGACATGGGATAGACATCGTGATGCCATCACTGCTTAGATAGACATGGGATAGACCTCCTGATGCCATCACTCCTTAGATAGACATGGGATAGACATCCTGATGCCATCACTGCTTAGATAGACATGGGATAGACTCCTGATGCCATCACTGCTTAGATAGACATGGGATAGACTCCTGATGCCATCACTTCTTAGATAGACATGGGACAGACTCC